GCCGCCGTTGTACATGGTTCCGTTCGCGCGGACCTCGAGGACGCCGTTCAGGTTCTCCAGCTCAGCTCCATCGGCGTAGTTTGCGGGCCTAAAGATGATGGAGGAACCCTGAACCTGCTTGGTATTCGTCTCGAGAACGTTGATGGGAGACTGGTTTTTGCCGAGGGCGCAGGCAGCGTTGTCGGCGGTGAGGGAGTGCCAGTTGAGAGGACCGTTCATGGCATCGAAACCGTAGGTGCCCTCGGCTCTCTTGAAGAGGCTGGTGCCATGATGGCAGAAGGCCGAGACGGCGGGGATGAGAGAGAGAATAGCGGTGGCCTTCATTGCGACGAAAACAGAGAAAGATCGTGAGGTGCAAGTGGGAAAAAAAGAGTGACTGGGCTCGATGAGTTGAGTTGTGGGTGGCTCGATGAAACAACAGATCGAAAGAGCGGAAAGATCTAGAGGTAAATATACACCGGCACTGCAGAGTAGCAGTCGATCGTGGGGTCCGGAAAGCTATGACTTGACGACGCGATATTAATTTCGTGGAGTCATGATGAGGACTATCTTGGTAAAAGGCAACGTCTTGGCAGGTTTGCCTGGTCAAAACACCAAAACACCAAGCCCCCTTTGGACCTTCCTGCAAGCACTCTGCCGGTCCGCGGCTCGAGCAAAAGAGTGATGACCTCTCCGCGGCCACGTGCTTGGCAATGATCAATCGCGGACGGGACCAGGGGCGCGGAGGGCAGGGGGGAGAGTCAGGACTTGGGAAACACATCACGAGAACGAAGCGCGGTGCTGGCAACAGAAGAAGCAATCACCCCTGAAAGGAAGCACCTGTGGAAGGGCCGCCGAAGGGCTTCCCAAATCAGGTTGTCATCAAAAAGTCAAATTGGCGAGCGCTTGGCGGGAGTGCGTCGCTATGCCAGTGGAGGCAAGTTTTTACATTGACAGCGTTCCCGTGGTGTGAAGAGGGGGCCGCTTCCACTTCCCGGGTGGCTGTCTGTCTGTCAGCAAAAGGCCAAGACTCTCTGATCGGCCGATATCCATGGACGAACATGAGCAGCAATTCATTCGTCCAGTGACGGCCGTTGACCCAGTTTGTCGGCGCCGACACCGCGGGTCAGCACGCGGCTGACTCGTGGCTCTGGGAGGCACATTCATCAATCTCTGTCAACGCTGTCAAGAATAGCCGCTTGTCTGGGATGAAGCCGGGCGATTGTTCCTGGCTAAAACCGTCCGTCCGAACTCAGCACGGCGGATATGCGAACAGAGCACACCCTACCTCAGGTGCGTAAGGCAATGCCTAAAGGCTGTGGGAAAGGCAAGTTCCAAGACCAAGGGGGTTATGAGTGTTGAGACGGGCAGGGATGAACTGTGTTACTGGAGAAGAGGGCAGACGAAATTTGCACGGTCATTGCCTACTCTGTGCCATACGGATGGCTACGCGACGACGGTGAGGCCAAGAACAAGGGACAGGGCTCCGGGGTCTCCAGACGGGGAGACGGGGTTGTCTAACCACGTCTGGTATTGGTAGAGAGAGCTCAATTAATCGTGTGAGAGGCAGGCGGACAGAGGAGAGGGAGAGAGGGCGGGGGAAAGGCCCCGCGTAAGGTGAGGCCTCGTCTCGACTCTCGAGCCGGGCAGTACGAATAAAGCAGCAGATAAACTGAAGCCTCCGTGGTTGATGCTGGTCGAGATAAAGTTTAGGGCCCAGAATGGCTATGCCGCCAGCGCGCGCAGCGGCGTCTGATTGGAGCCTACGGGGTCTATCGGTGGCCCTAAGGAGGATCTAAGAGGGCCTACAGAGGGTCAAGAGATGAGCAGGTTCAGAGGCCAAGCCCTTGGTACCTTACCTACCTTAGGTGAGGTAAGCATCCAGGGGTCGCGTCGCTCGTCAGTGCACTATTTTGGCACACAGCCACGATGGCCTGGGCCTGCGACTCTACGGATCCATACGCTAAGCTCCCAAAGAGCAAGACACACTCAAGGCCTAACCACTGCACTGGAGCGCTGTAACCCGTAAGAGACTAGACGATGCTGATGCTTGAGCCGTGGTTAGGTCATGTAAGGTAAGGTAAGGTAGGTACCTGTGTAGGGACCTGACCTTACGAGGTAGGCAAGGCAAGGGACACTCGGGCTACTCCGTGACCATCTTACAGTGGCCAAGTGAGCGCTAATTAGCCCGGCCCAGGGCAGGCAGTCACCGTTCGTTCGCAGGTATCACGTTGGGTGAAGGTAGGCATGAGGCATGAGCAGCCAGTCCGGTCCGGTCCCTCACATGCTGCTGAGGTGCTCATCTCATGTTCCATTTGCCAAGACTGCTGGCCGGAGGAGGCCAACTCCTCCTCAAAGAGAATATGGGTAGTGTATCCGTACAATCCTATCCAATCCAGTCCAATCCAGTGCCACACGTCGCTGTCTTGGCAAGAGTTCAACGTCGTCTTCTTGGCAAACGTGGCTTGGCAGATATAGGTGCGGCGTTTCCTCCAAATTTCCAAGAAACGTCCAAGACTCTGGCCCAACTTCCAAGACTCTCGTCCCAGGCTTCCAGGGCTGCTCATCGTGGGGGGAGTGCGACCGACCTGCTGGTTCCAGTCTGGCGCCGCCGTTGTTCCGCCTAGTGGCTTGGACCTTCTGCGGCCGTAGACTCTAACGGTTCTTACTGCTTCTACCTACCTTACTTAGTAGGTACCTTACGGATAAGTAGACTGCTAGGTCTAGACCTCCCGACACCGTGGAACCGGCACATCACTCGCCCGTCGCCTGTCGTGTTCCATCTGCTCCGTTAGTCATTCCCGCCGTAGGGGCCTGCCGCCGCGTTAACGTTTTCTCTTGGCGCCCTAAATTCAGCACTCGCGCTCCCTTTTCCGCCCACCTGATTGGGTGGCGTCGCCTTGATGCTGTGGAACCCTTCCATTGAGAACAATTCCATTTTCCGATTCATCTTTCTACCCTTCTTACTGTGTGTGCACTCGGCGGACTTTCGCTTTGGCCGTTGCCTTCCCTTCCACCCAGTCCTCAATCCATGTCGCTGTCTCTGTCCGGCCTCGCCCAGGCGTTGCCGACAACCTCTTCCACTTCATCTACGAAGCCGCGCCCCCGACCTACCAACACCGCGTCTCCCGCGGACTCCATCTGGAAGCATTTACCAGAGGCTGATTTCCGCCAACATGTCGTCGAACTCGAGAAGCTGACCAACGCGGTGCCTGTGCATGCGCAAACTTTTCCCCTGCCTCCGCAATCTGATCTAGCGGCAGACCATGCCAACTCAGACGGAGATGCAGCTGCGGATGCGGATGCGGAAACAGAAACAGGCGCCGCAGGGGCGGACGTCGTCGGCCGAAACCCCGACTGCGTCTCCCAACAACCTCATCCCCGCCAACTGTCACTCGCTGCCGAACAGCGCCTAGCTGATGACATCGCCTACCTCATCGCCGTCGGCGAAGGGGCGCAGTCTGTCGCTGCAACCACCGTGCAGGAAAGTCGACGTCCGCAAGGAAAGGGACTCCGGGTCACCATCGCCTCGGTTGACGCGATCGAGCCCGATTCACAGGCATTTCTCCGCGCTATTTTCCAGAGGTTGTCTACCGTATCTGCCGAGCCGTCTGCCAAGACACTACATAGTCTCGTGGACCAAGTAACTCGGCATCATCAAGCTCGCCTGCTCAACCGCCTGCGATCATGCAAGTGGAAGAAGCCAACCTACCTCTCCCGCACCCACAAGAAGGCCCTGCATGCCGACTTCGCCAATCTGCTCCATCGCGCCCAGTTCCTCTATACCAAAAAGGAGGTCAACGAGCGGGCGCAGCTGGAAAAGGAACTCTTGGCTCTTGCGGCACTCCTCGAAGCCTTTGAGACCACACCACCAGACGACGACCACGAGGCGCTGGTCGACATTGTGCGGTCTAGCTACCAAGTTTGCACCTCATCCCTGGTCGCAGATTATCTACAACGCCTGCAGGGGGTCAGAGCGACAACTCAAATCCAAGCCTGCCTCAAAACTTTGCGCCAGATTGAAAAGATCGCAGCCTACTACCGCATCTGTCTAAGCTTGACAAGGTTGTCCCAAGCTCACGCCAAGCTTTTCCACGACGTGGACCTTCTCTTCCTGCTGCCATACGAGGCTGTGCCCATCACCACCGTCGCCTTCCAGCCGTGGGCCAAGTCAACTCACGTGCACGCAGAGGTCATCCTCAGCGTCCATCACGACCTCGAGCTCCATCGGCCGCAGCCTGGTGGTCCTCCTTGGCACCGCCCGAGATGCCTCGGCGCTTCCAAGTACTTTTGCTACCTTTGCTTCCTGTTCATCCGACATCACGGCGCCTACTTCGCGGCCAACACGCACGGGGCATGCTATGATCAGTGGACGGTGCCGGACCTCGCCGACTATCCTGAGACGATGGCCGACCGCTACAGGGAGGTATTGCGAGCGATGGATACGGAGATCCAAAACCAAACACAGGGCGCGGTCTGGAGGCCAGAGCCCATGACGAGTAGAGAAAACTTGATAGGCATTATTCAACAGTGAACTGAAGAGAGTCACCCGCATGAGATGGCGCATACAATATGAACGATGGTCAACCTGAATTCTAATGTGGCTCAGTCTCAGGTCTTGTTCCGTTCTTCAGCTTGCGTGGCTGAATGCCTTCTCCTGTCAGGGAGCGCCAAGCCATGACAGCTGTAGGGCGTAGATCCTCCTATCCTGCGCCCGTTTGGCAGGTCGCCATGATTCAGGTGTCATCGGGGACTTTGCGGAGGTTACATGCCCGGTCCCGGCAACAGAAGCATCCACAGGTTTGCCCGAAGAAAGTCCCATGTAAACAATTCAACTGTCGCAAGTCCTCGTTATCGTTGTTCTTCTTCGCCAAATGCAGCGTCTTCAGTAACTGCACGCTTGGCCCATATTCAAACTTCAGCTCTAATATCGTGGAAGCCATCTTTGCGGCCGAGCATTCTTGCGCATCGTCGATGGTGTTCCTGCTGACTCTCGCCGCCCCACAACCTCGCCTCCATCTTTAGTACTGATAAGACAGACCGGCCCGGCTCAGTCTACGCTTGTTCAAGATGTAATACTGCACGTTGGCCCAGATGCCGCAAACAACTGCGGCGGTCACCAGGCCCGTGATGACAGTCCAGCCCTGGCGGTACTTGGGTCCATCGCCCTCCCGGAACAACTGCTTACCCACAATGCCAGAGCAGTTCGCAGCCATGATTAGAATGGCCATTGTGATTGAACGTTCGCCAGCGGACTTGGCGTTCATCGAGACCCAGGCGCCATTGACGGGGTCTAATCAAGCTGTGTCAGAGGCATGATCACCAAGCTTATTTCGGAGATGTGTAGACTTACGCCAAGGGAACGAGAATGCCACCGAAAGAGTCAACATGGTAAATCTCTTTGTGCGATCAGAATCAATCAGCAACAGGTTGCCAAGCTACGCATTGTCAGTTTCATTTTGCAAAGCCAAGAACACATGACGCGTTCGACTCACGTTGAAGCCCCAGAAGATCAGCAGTCCCAGGAACACCCATGGCCCGCGCACTCTTGTTTTATCGCTGTGAGGGCAAGTCAGTTTCGTTTGTCATTTATCAACGGAGCTTGGCGCAATGTCACGATGGAACGTACGCAATCCAGCCCCAGAACAGGTTGACTGGGATCAAAATCCAGGCGCCGATGGAAACCATGGCATTGGCTTGCAGTCTGTCGTATCCCATCGAAGCAACCAACGAAGGCGCGTATGAGCTCAGAGTCGATGACGGTGACAAAGCGGCAATGGTGAAGATGACATGCGGTATCAATTTCCAGTTTGTCAACTAATACTCGTCAGCACTGGGCGGAATAGACAGCCAAAGTCGATTGAACATACTGCCTCTCTCAATTCCGGCCAACTAACGGACTTCTTAGGGTGCGCCTTGGAAGGATCGTCAAGCATGACTCTCTTGTAGAGGATCTCCGCCTCCCGCTCGCTGAAGTATCGCAGTCCAGCCAGGGACACCGGATTGCTGACTTGGTTTGGGAAGAAAACAAGAAAGCAGATACCGACGAGCACAGTGAAGATGCCCTCAAGCTGTTCATGATTAGTGTCTACTCTTGTGCATCGCACTTAATGTTCCTCACCAAGAAAAGCCATTGCCATCCAGCCAGATTGGCGACGCCTCTCATGTGCAAACTGCGGTCAATTGTCAGTATGTCACACGAAACATCGTCAGTGTGGATTTCGACGTGGATGCTAACTTACATGCCATAGGCGATAAGACCAGAGCATGCGGCAGCAAGCATGTTGCCGAGGAAGAACCAAGAGAACCTCCTGCTAGTCTCCTCCTTCTTGTACCAGCGGGTCATGGTGTACAGAGCAGCAGGAATAAATCCCGCTTCGCAGAGACTTTTGCAACGAGTCAGCTGAAGTTCATCAAACCAGAGAGAAGACGAAAGCATACCCAAGAAGCAGTCGAGTTACCATGAATGGACCGAGACCCTTCTGGAATGCTTGGAATGTTGCGACCAAGCCCCTATTGGTCAAGTTAGCGTTGTCGAACGCGGTGCCAAGACTGTAAGTGCCAACCATGCAATGATCTGCCCACCAATCCAAAGAGTCGGTCCTACTCGGTATAACACAAGGTTGCTGGGGATCTAGATACGATTGTCAACCTCTTGTGACCAATTTGGCGTGTATATGTAGTTCTCAAACTCACCTCAAGGATAACAATGCCTGCTGAGAGCAACTGTTGTCCAACATTGAATTGGTTTTGGGAGATTCCGACATCCTTCAGGAAATAGTCGGTCAGAGCATTACCCCTACATCTTCGTCAATCCAAATTTCCAAGTTTTTGATCGTCGAATCTCGTACATGTTTCCGCGGTCGAGTTGCAGGGCGAAGAAGGCAAGAATCAGCAGAGGCATAATCAAAATGTCGACCCTGCAGAGCAAGCGGGTTAGTAAAAGCTAAAAGCTGCTTAGAACTGAATGCGCAAACTTACTTTCGGAGCAGGCGCTGCTCCTCCTCCTGCGACCAGTCAACCTCGCTGTGGCCCCCATCGCTCTGGCTCTCCGGGCTTTCAGCCACGGTCTTGATTTGCTTCTCGTCCACGATGGCCATTGCGAAGCGATTCGAAGATCCTGGAGCTTCGATGTTGGAATCGGCTGGCTAGCAGACAATGCTCGGAGTAACCTCACAGGGACTCTGGCAGTTTCTTCTGCTGACACAACTGATATGGAAATCTTTTTAAAGAGCCTGCTACGGAAAAGACTTGCATGTCGCCCCTCTGACGATCCGGCTTCTCGGGCCAGACCTCGCGTCACTGTTCCGCGTTCCACCTTCAAGTCCCACCTACGTGCAGCTTTCAACCCCAATCCTGTGCTAATGACATGGAATGAAGCCATGAAAGCAGCATCTCCATGGAGAACTGACTAGGAGACCACGCGTTGGGTCGCCAACTTGCCGACTTTAGGTGGGTGCGTCTCCGGAAACTTGCCTGAACTGGGCCGGCCGGCGCGGCCCACTGCCGTTGATGCCATCCGATGAAGCGCGCACGCCATCGACCACCACCACCTTACACGCACAAAACACACCAACAACATGCACCCCGCTTACCTAACCCTCTGATGCAATCGGTTGTCGGGATTGCGACTGTCTTTAAAGCCAATGGAAATGCTCGATTATTGGGAGGTGCCGATTTTGCAAATCTCCTACCTGTCAGTCTGGGCATTTGTCGGGCAGAGTCCGAAGGCCCATTGAACAAGAAGAATGACCCGTCCGACGTTTTCCCGCTCTGCCGTTGATCAGATTACCTTGAGGCCACTCTTAAGCGGCCTGCAGTGCCATCCGCTGAGTTTGCGCTGAGCTGTGACTGAGATGACTGAGTTCATGGCTGAAAAAATCCTTCACAGTCTGGGCCCTAGATATCCCGCGTAGAGAGCATGATGCCTTTCGAGTAATGCCTTTGCTTTTTAGCACTCTTGGTCAGTATCAAAGACTAACTCACATCGTCAATCTGGCTCTCGCCGACGTGGGACGACATAGCCCTTAAGTATGTTTGCGTTCAACCTCGGGCCTCCGCGCCTACGAATAGGAGATTGATCCGCTCATCGGTGATATGCAGTATCAATTGCGCAATAATCGTCGTTATGATGGCTTACGGGAATACATGATGACGACTTCATGATGGTGTGATCAAACTGCCATTGATAAGAAGGCGCTGAACAGTCTGCTTATCAAAGAACAGCAGCAGATTCTCCGTCGAGCGACGAAAAGTTCAGCAGAACTCCCCGAACCATGGCAAATCTAGAATCCAGAAAGCACATCTCGCCCGATTCCGGGTTTCCCATCTCTCTTCACCCTCATTTTCATCCCAAGATCAAAGACCACGTGCCCCCTGAGCCTGTCAGGGAGCAGATAGTTCCCGACAAGGACAGGGCTTCTTTCGCGGACCCAGACAAGAAGGCCCTCTTCTCTGCAGCCAAACGAGTGGATCTGACTGAGTCTATCGGTACTGTCCTGGAAAATGTCCAGCTGTCGCAACTTACGCCTCAACAACTAGATGAGTTGGCGCTTTTGGTGACGGAACGCGGCGTCGTCTTCTTCCGAAACCAAGACCTTACTACCGAAGGCCAGGTGAAGCTATTCGAGCATTACGGAACTCTCGACCGTCACCCGGCTCAGAAGGACGTCAAACATGTCATCATAAAAGGAAGTCGCGAGGATCATCGAGAAATACTCAAATACACACCATGGCCTTCTGGAGACTTTCATGCCGATACCTCGTTTGAGGTGAACCCTCCATCTTATTCCTTACTTCGCATGGAAGAGCACCCTGAGGTTGGGGGCGACACTGCCTGGGTGTCTCAGTATGGTTTGTATGATGCGCTCAGCGATGCCATGAAGAAGTTTGTCGACGGGCTGCACGCAGTACACACCTCGAGGCTGCAGTATGACACGATTCTTGATCTTTGGGGCGTTGGTCCGAACCGTCCTCCCATTGATTCGCATCATCCCGCTGTCAGGACTCATCCCGTTTCTGGTCTCAAGGCGCTGAACGTCAATCCTGGCTTTGTGACAGCCTTTGCAGAGTTGAAGAAATACGAGTCCGACAAGCTCCTCGACTTTTTTGCTTATCATATCCACTCGGCTGATGACCATGCTGTGCGATGGAAGTGGGAAGTAGGCTCTGTTGCCATGTGGGACAACAGGTCAGTCTAAGTTTCGTTGAGGAAAGGCGAGTGCTGACTTGACTACCAGATGCACAGTCCATCGAGTGATACCGGGAACATATGATGCGCCTCGAAGAGGCATCAGAACCACCGTGTTCGGGGAGAAGCGTGAGGATTCAGTCCGAATCGTCTTTCAACGTATACTGACGAATTTGTTAGCATACTTTGATTCAGCAAGTGAAAGTCGAGCCGAAAGGGAGGAAAGACGCAAGAATGAGCAGCAACATAAGAAGAGGTTAGGCGAGAAAAAGGAGCTTGTCGTAGAGGCCACACCGGCCTAAGCGTCAACTCCCTTGAATTACTGGTGACTGCCACAGCAAATTCCCAAGCGGCCATGTTATGTTCGAAAACGGCATCGCTTGAAAGCGCCTGTGCTTGGTTTTGTTGAAGAATCCCAGAAATGGCGGTCCATTGTCTATCCTACATGTCTCCAAATCTGCCGGTAGCCACTGCAGTTCATAAATGTTCAGTTCCGTAGACTCTTTGGATGGGTATCGATCCATATAGCTTCGTTCATAAGTATCCGTCCCTGGGTATAGCAACCCATCGATGCGCCCTATTGATTCACCCTTTTCCTGGTTCCCATTTTACTTTCTATCCCCGAGGTGTTGTCATTTCCACTTTGCCGTCCATTGGTATTGTTGCTTTGTCTTGAATTATTCCCTGGTGATCTTCCAGTTTGTTTTCACATGGATCGCGTCGCTCGGTTGCTCCCTCGTCAGGTTTCTCTCGGATCCGCCGTCGTCGTTGCTGACTGTCTCGTGGCCATCTTTGTCGTTCTGCAAAGCGGCAGTCAGCATGATAATCCATAGGTATACAGCAAGTAGTTGAGCTGTTTCGTGTGCCAAAGCCCTTGGACCATAGCCAGAACGACAAGAGAGAGCTTACCAACTCGATCCAGGCAGTGTACTGGCCTGGCTTTGGCTGGACCTTGAGTTGATTGCTTGACCCATGCTTGTAGCCGCTTTGTTCGTTGGAGTTCTCCATGGAAGAAGACTTGTATCTCGCTCTCCATCGTACGTAGAAAGGTCGAAGCATAGGAATGTTGATGCAAAGACCCGCGAGCATCAGCTCAATGGTGCAGAGCATGAAGGTGGTGATTGAGGTACCCGTGAGGTTTCCGATCAGATCGATGGTGAATATCAGCACGAAGCGAACGATGCCAATGACACAGCACCTGTTTTGGATGTCAGTACCAGCATAGATTGGAGAGCAGGAAGATAGGCCACCTACGCCAGGCCAAGAGCAAAACAGGAGATGACAGCAAACTTCTCGGTCTTCCTCATTTGGAGTTGCCAGACGGTCCAGATGGGCAATATGACAATAAACAAGTCAGTTATGACGTTGGTCATAATGATGCACTTTAGAACCAGGATTTGGTCCATGCAATGACCAATGCGCATGACAGTCCATTGTTGCGAAATAGGATCGCAAAGGAAGATGAAGAGGAACGTAAAAGTCAGAGCCCAAACAACAACGATTCCTGCGACAACGTAGATCCACCTGCTCAATTGCAAGGAAAACGCGCGGTGGTAAAACCAAAGTTGGCTGAGCTTTAAGCATGCTAAAGCCCAGAGATAGACGAGCGTGAATGCAAAAGTCACCTTGAGGATGTATTGCAGATTGTTGACAACTGTTCAGAACATGAATTTTAGTCTCAGAGGCATATCACAATCATGGGGAAGGGTTGGCGACTTACGTTTTGGATAAACGTCGGACTCTGGGTCAAAGTCATAGCCAACTCCTGATGTGAAGACGGCAACATTCAGGCCGATGGTACTGCACGATAACAGCTACGTAGAGTCAGCAAGTTCGTATTGATGTTCGTGGCATCGTGGTGACAAACGCAAGCAATGACGGCGAGAATGTCGTCTCCTCCGATCCCGATTCCCCTGAATCGACCCCATAAGCGCGCAAATACCACGGACACGAAGACGACACATAGACAGCCAATGGCTATCAAAGAGTTTCGTGCGCTTGTTGTCATCGGAATGTACTGCACTGGCGGCGTCGCCACTTCCGCGGGTGTAGCCATGATGACCGGCTGGCTTGATCTCGGTTCGACTTTGACGGATAGATAGGCGATGAGCGTAAGAGGACCAAGATATCAAGAAGTGGCCCGTTGATGGGGGAAGCACGACATAACTAGGAGATATACCGGGTTGATCAGCCCCAGCTGTTAGAGTTGCAATGTCACGGCCGTCGCCCTTGAAGGTTCTTCAGTTTCTCTCACATTTCTACCCACCCTTCAGAAGGCAATCAACGGGAAGATCTCTCTCGGTACGGCCCAGCTGACATAGAACCGGGGATCTGTTTCGCGGCGCCGAGATTTCCAGCGGCCCTGGTTCGCGGTACTCAACTGGCCTCGCCTCGCACTTTTACGGGTCCTTCATGTCAGGAACTGCGACACCGTGACTCGTGGGATTCTAATGACGGGCTAGTAACCCAAAGTGTGACATGAAGCGACTTGGGGGTCTGCCAGGGGGTTTCGTTCACAGAAGGATTCTTGTTGGCAACAAGTTGACTGACAGCTTGTGGGTCATGGATTTGCTTCGCAGACTTGCTTCACTTGGATTGGAAGAGATCCGTCATCCCGCCGGCAGTTCCATGCACTACAAGCAGCAATAGACTGTTTGGTTCGATTCCTGCAGGCAGTGACGCTGAGAGGTCTTGATCGATGTCTCGTATTGCCTGAGGTGGATGCCTAGATGCCTAGACGTTGCAAGATGATCATCCACAATATTTACCCGGCATGGCGGACATGGATTCTTTGCACAAGTGAACACTGAGCTGCAGACCCCTCTGGTAGAAAAACAAATACAGCCTCACATGCTTCGCCGGGCGCGAGAAAAATGTCGCGGTGTCTTGGCATTTGTTGGTGACAGTGGGCCTTTGAGTTTTCTTCGAATCCTACCGGCAACAGTCCCCGGTAGGCCTAGTTCCCCGGCCACCGTTGGAAATTGACGAGGACGGGGTCCCAGGACACGCCGCGTTGGTCCAACCAGACCAACCCCGAGTTTGGGAAGACACAGTGGAGGACGTCAATCAAGCGCTTCCCAATTGGTCAATGATGGGAGGCCTTTTGATGGCGCGGCCGATCATCTCCGGAACCAGCGGATTGGGCCCTGAACTCTCTGAACTTTGGGCTGAACGAGGTGACAGTAACGGTCGTCCTATCTGTCGGGACTTATCGTCGGGACCTAATAGTAGCCAGCTATCCGTTGAAGTGAAACGTTGTTAGCGCATCCTCCTGCCGGGTTCTCAGGGACCTGGGAATTCACATGGAGCCCAGAGTGGCAACCGGCGAGATACTTACTTCGTTGGGAAGACGACGTCTTGGGCCTGTATATTGGCTATTTGTGACGGAAAGCATGCTCATGGATGCATATTCCATGCAATGCCAGGATTCTTCACCTGCGCTATTTGATATCATGTCAATCGCAATGAATTCCTCGGTAATCTTTCTGTCCAAAATTCCAGAAAGAAGCACGTGTAAGAAACTGATCGAGACAACGTTCCAGCCGTCTCCAGATCGCGGGCCGTTGCGTGACTCGGCCGGTACGGGGCTGATGGTCCGTCTCTCGCTCTCTTTTTTTTGACACCGTTGACAAGGGCCGCAAATAGTTCTGTGCCCTCGGCGGCTGGCGAAATGGTGAAGAGAGTGTCATTGAAGGCGGATTCCAGGTGGAGTTGTCTCCGTCCCGGGCCCTGGTCCGTTCCAACCAAAACGCATAAAGCCATTTGAAGATCTGTGAACAATTTGTCCTAGCGCTGGATGCGTTGCATTACGGCAGTGCTGTCTTGTGTTTTTCGTACTGCAGCGGTGTGGGATCGTCACGGAGAGGACTCCTTCGCATCCATCGTGCCGCGTAAGGAAAACCTACGACAGAGTTCGCTTCGCGGACCTCGCAAACCGTCTGCGGCTCTTCTATCCCTGATGATCTCCAGTATGATTGACATTCATCGTTCGAGTTCGTCTCCCAAGTCCATGCACTACGAGCCATCTCCATGGGGAGGCAGACAAAATCCCAGAAACCTGCATCGGTGCATCGTCTCAACTGGGAATTCTTCAAAGGCCAGTCGCTGCATATTGTGGACCGCCCCCGCAGTAATTGCGCACTAACAGCACTAGTCGGCTCGTCGTCAGGGTTGTGTCCCCTTCTCAGGGGCTATCGTGGTCGTGTCTGTTCATCTCGTCGCGACGGGACTGTGACAGCAGTCCGTCAACCACTCAGCTCGCCGTTTTTATGAATGACCCGACTGGTTGTGGACCGGATGATAAGTGGAATGCAGTTCCTGAGCTTGATACTTGACAGCCATGCGCAGTATATAGGTCTCATGGAAAACATGTGCATGAAGTCGCATTGCTACGAGGATCGCCTTCCCCTCTTCCCTCCCAAGTGTGTGTAGATGCCACCCAGCGGTTCGCGTTCAACATGGCTGTGAACTCAATAGCCGACGGCCTCAAGGCTGCCCTGACTCCCATGGCCTTTGTCTACTTCCTTGGCCTCTATGTGGCCTACTACATCCTGGTCGCGCTGTACAACATCTCGCCTTTCCACCCTCTGGCCCGCTTCCCTGGCCCCAAGATCGCAGCCGCGAGCTACTTGTACGAGGCATACTACGACTGGTGGCTGCTTGGAAGATATGGCAAGGTTATTGCACGGATGCACGAGCAATACGGTAAGTCATGGTAGCACTAGTCATGAACACGGTTGAGTTCTGACAGAAAGACTCGAGGCCCCATTGTCAGAATCAACCCCGATGAGCTTCACTGCTCGGATCCTCTCTTCACCGATGAGATTTATGCCGGTCCGGGTCGCATCCGCGACAAGTGGCAGCACCAGCTGAACACCGGCGGCGCCGGCCCCGTGTCCGTCACCGGCTTCTCCACCGTCAACCACGAAGTCCACCGCATGCGCAAGGGCGCCCTGTCCAAGTTCTTTTCCCGCCAGCAGATGCTCAAGCTGGAGGGCGAGGTGCAGGAGTTTGCTCAGCTTGCCATCGACAAGATGCTCAGGTCCGCTGGCAAGGAGCCCTTTGACGTGAAGGAAGCCTTCAACTGCTTCACTGCCGACATCATTTCTCAGTATGCCTTTGGTGAGCCCATGGGCTTCATCGCCCAGGAGGGCTGGGAGCCCAACTTCGCCACCTGGGTCAAGTCTTTCTTCAAGAGTGCTTATATGATGAGACACAATGCTCTCGGTAGAAAGATGGCGCAGGTGCTCCCTATGATGGCCGATTACATGGGCGAGGATATCAAGTCCGTCATGAGACAGATGAACGTTGTCATTCCTGGATACATCCAAGCAGCTCTGAACAACCCTGAGAACGGAAGAGTATTTGCCGATCTAATGGAGTCCAAGACGATGCCCGAGTCCGAGAAGTCCATGTACCGTCTGTCGGGAGAGGGCTTCAACTTCTTGCTGGCCGGTACCGAGACCACTGCCGTATGTCGTGCTCCAACTTTCGAACTAGCATCATGAACTGACCGATACAGGCCACGCTCACCGTCATCACCTACTATCTTCTGGCGCAGCCCACGACATACGCCCGCCTGATGGAGGAGCTCCGGGGTGTTGACCCCTCGAACCTCAAATGGACCGAGCTTGAGCAGAAGCCTTTCCTGTGGGCCGTCATCCACGAGTCCCTGCGCATGATGCCTGGTGTTTCCCACCGATCGGCTAGAATTGCTCGTGAGGAGGACCTGGTCTACAAGACCCGTGACGGCAAGAAGGAGTGGGTCATTCCCAGGGGCACCCCCATCGGCATGACTTCCATGATCAACCACTGGGACAAGGAACTTTTCCCTGACCCCGACGAGTTCAGCCCCGAGCGTTGGTTGGTGGATGGTAAGCCCAACTACAAGCTCCAAAAGTATCTCCTTGCCTTTGGCAAGGGTAGCCGATCGTGCATTGGCGAGCAGTAAGTCATAGCTTTCCTCAAGTTTTGGGTTCTCCATACTAACATTTACGAAGCTTGGCTTACTGCGAGGTGTACCTCATGGCGGCCCTGATGGCTTTGCGTGTTATTCCCAGGTCGAAGCTGTACAACACCACCGTGGAGGATATCTCTTACGACCATGACTTGATCGTCGTCCAGACGAAGAAGGGTTCCATTTCTGTCAAGATCCAGATTGAGTAGATGGTGTTAGCGACGGCGAAAGGGTTCGAGCTACGTAGTAACACATTGTGCGTGTGTGTAATGATAATCAACACTCGTTCTATCCAGACCCAAGGAAAGCGACAAAGGAGACTGTCTGTTAGCGCCATGCCACCGGGCTCAAGTGAAGAAGCTCAAAGCCGGTATCCTGATGGCTGTCTACTTCTAATAGTCTCTATGTTCACTACCCATTCGACTACCTGCCTCCCGCCATCTCGGTCCCCAAGCCCTGACTGCTAGTAGCATCGGAACAGAGGCCAAGCAGGTGGCCCCATACGCGGTGAAAGTCCAACCTGTCCCGAACTCTTCAACGAGCAGCTGGACGACAGCAACACCGGCCGCGGCCGCAAGGGATCTGACTAGGTTCATTGCTATACTCGCAACTCCGGGATTTCTTGGATGGAGGTCCATATACAATGTGAGGCACGTCTACTGCGTCATCAGCAACAATACACGCTGTGTAGCGGTTCTAAACTCACGTTGCTGATGCCCGTCGACGCGAGACAACAGATGAATTGCGTGACCATAATAAGGCCCAGGTTGATCTTGTACTCAACCGCCCAGCCGTAAAACACCGTTGAAGCAATTACAAGTGGGAACAGATACCATACAGTTCGAAGTCGGGCACGTTCAATCGGGAAGCTCGCGAAGTTGTGTCCGACAAAATCGCTGATGGAGATGCCATGAAACCTCGCTACGGCAGTGTAGTCATGATCAATGATCTTTCCTGCTCGATGTCAGAATACAAACATGCAATGGAGGTGAATATAAGTACCAACTGCATAGGCAGATATGAATACTGCCAAGCCATACGGCACGTAACACAGTCCCGCTTGCAATCCATTCAGCTTGTACTTCTCCATGGCCAGATGG